AAAATGAATAAAGTGTAATTAATAAAAAATTAAAAAAAAAAAAAAGAAAGACCTGGAGGGGACAGGAGCTCTACAAGAAGGGAAACAGAACCAAAAATATGTGTGCCCAGGGGTCTTTTCTGAGATTGCTACTCCAACCAAGAACCATGCATGGAGATAACCTAGCTCTGCACAGATGTAGCCTATGGCAGCTCAGTGTCCAAGTGGGTTCCATAGTAAGGGGAGGAGGGACTGTCTTTGACATGAACTCAGTGGCTGGCTCTTTGATCACCTTCCCCTCAGAGGAGGGGGGGCAGCCTTGCCAGAGGAAGACAATGCAGCCAGTCCTGATGAGGCCTGATAGGCTAGGGTCAAATGGAAAGGGAGGAGGCCCTCCCTTATCAGTGGACTGGGGAAGGGGGCATGGGAGGAGAAGAGGATGAAGGAGGGGCTACAGCTGGGATACAAAGTGAATAAACAGTAATAAATAAAAAAATAAAAAAGAAGTGAAATAGTCATTGGAAGCTGTTGAAGAGAGGGGGCACTGACAGAAATGAGAGTGGGGATCAGATATGGGGAGAGCAGGGGCTGGAGGACAGAAAAAGGGCTTGCAGAGAGAGGAGAAAGCATGGGTGGGGACATGTCTTAAACAAGCTAGAATCCTGCCACTGGATGGGTCCCTGGAAAGATATGTAGGATGACTCTAGCTGGGAGTTTTAGTGGCGGGGGTCATAGAGACTCGAGAGGCCACCCTCTAATCAAACAGGATTCAGAGTGGATGGAGTGGATCAGTAACCCACCCACAAAAAAATTTACCCAGAATTCACCCTGCCTACAATATGTTCAGGGGTAAAGATAGAGCAGAGCCTGAGGGCATGTGCAACCAATGCCTAGCCCAACCTGAGACACAATCCATGGGAGAGAGCCGACCCCTGATACTATTAATGATTCTCTACTGTGTATGCAGATGGGAGCCCAGTATGGCTGTCCTCTGGGAGGCTCTGCTAGCAATGGTTCAAAACAGAAACTAAGACCCACAGTCAAACAATGGGTGGAGCATAAGGAGACTTATAGAAGAATGAAGAAAGGATAGAAAGGCCCAGAGGGGACAGGAGCTCCACACAAGACCAACAGTCCCAACTAAACTAGGCTCAGAGGTCTTGTGGAGACTGAGGAACCAACCAAAGACCGATCATGGACTAGACTTAGGCCCTTTAATAATATAAACCAAATGGGTCCCTTAGCATCCATGTGGGTCCCCTAGAAAGAATATTGGATCAGGGGCTGTCTCTGACATGGTCTCTGTTGCATGCTTCTGAGTCAGTTTCCCCTGGTGGGGTTGCCTTGCCAGGGCTCAGTGAAAAAGGAAGTACACAGTCTTGATGCACCTGGGTGTGCTGGGGTGGGCTTGTCGGGGGAGGGAGACTCCCCTTTTCTGAGGTGCTGAGAAGGAAGGATAGGGGGATGAGGAAGAGATGGAGTGGAGGCACTGGGAGGGGAGGAAGGAAGGGGCTAAGATTGAGATGTAAAGAGAAGAGCTGAAGAGATGCTTCAGCCATGAAATGCTAGGCTCACAATAAAAAATATAAGAGATGTAAAGAAAAATTTTTAAAGAGAGATATAGAAAATACATACATACATATATATATATGTACTTACAGTTTTTCCCCTGTACTTTTTCATGTGTGTATGAGTGTGTATGTAGTGTGTTCCTGTGTATGTGTACACTTGCCTGTAAAGACCCAAGATTAACATCCTAGGTCTTCCTTGATTATTCTCCACCTTATTTAACTTTGATTGAGCAGGGTCTCTGATTTGAAACCAGAGCTCCCCCATATGGCTAGTCTAGTTAGTTTTCTTTCTATGAAGATCCTCTTCCAAATGTTGGAATTACAGGTGGGCCATCATGCCTTCCCAGCATTTACTTAGATTCTAAGGATCCAATTCAGATCTACAGACTTGTTCACAGAGGAGGAGCTTTAAAGCTGCTAAGCCATTTCTCTGAAATCTTCAACCTTAAGGGTTGTCATCCAATCGCTGATTTCTCCTGACACAAAAGATTATAAACCTCAATAGTCCCAAGTTTATTGCATGAACAACAAAACCTCCCAAACAACTTTCACAGCATAATGGAGAGATGGAAGGAATGCATGGCTTCCAGTTCAGTGAACTGAAAGCCCTATCTCTTTATCAAGCATGTGGAAGTGTCAGAGAAATCAGTTATCTTATTTAGGGCTTCTGTCTAAATTCTGCTTAACCAAAGAAATGAAATACAAACAGGTTGTTCTACGAGGGCAGACACTATTTTTTCTGTGGAGGGTCTGATAGAAAGTAGCTTAGGCTTTCTGTGTCACATGATGTCTGCTCATTTCAGCTAAGGAGAAAGTATCCTTAGATAATATGTAAATGAATGAACATGGCTATTTTTACAGTAAAACTATATTTAAAGTCCCAGAAATTTGAATTTCATGTGATTTTTATGTGCCATGAAATATTCTTCATTTTTCTTTATTTCAACCGCTTACATTTTTTTTTTTAAGAAACAAAAACTTTGCTATCTCACAGGTTTTGTGAAATTATGTGGCAGCTTCAATTTGGACATGAAGCTGTTGCCTGACATCTTCTCTTTTTAACTGGTTCATTTATTCTTTTACATATAAAGTGGGATAGGGTTTACAGTGATACCATTTTCCTTGGCAATCCATTAAGAGATGAGAAAAGCAGTCAACCTTCTTCAGGTGGCAAACTCTCTATGCCTCGAGTAAAGATTGCTAGGAAGTGATCACACTTTTAGATAGCTTTTTCTCCTTCTCTGTCCTGCAGCCATCCAGTCACAGAAAACTGAAACACAGATCTTTCTACCCTTTTGAAAGCACAGGAATCAATAGGACTAATCAAAATGTGAATTCTGCCATTACACATAAAGATAGCCTTCTAGGATACAAGCTGATATAAAGCTCAGCTGGGTGAGGCATATCCCTGCTGACACCCACATGCATGCCAAGATATAAGCTATCTGAAATGGCCTCAACTCAGAGTCTCTAAAAATAGCGTTTCCATAATTTGGCCTTTCTGGTCCACAGAAAGATTTGAACCATTCATTCCCAGATCAGGTCTTGCTCCTGATGGAGGGTGAATATGACATAAGTTTCAGGGCCTGTCCCCATGAAAGAACATTCTTTGGAGATCTGCATGCCCCATGAGTACCAGTATGACAATTCCATCTGGTTGGAGTGTTGCCATTACATTTTGCCCAGACTAATGTAGAATGACTTGGTCTTTTGGGGCTACTGTAAAATATTTTTGATTGGGTAATTATAAAAAAAAAGAAGTTTATTGCTCACAGGTCTGTGGCCCCAGAAGCCTAATAGGAAGGTATCAGCAGGTTCACAATTTCATGAAGGTTCTGGCCTTAAATTCAGTTACCTATTGGCATCATAATATGGTAGAAGTAGCATGGATAAACTTTTATAATGACATATGTGAAGGAAATTTCCTGGAAAGTAGCTCCAACTGTACTTTCTTCAAGGCTGATTAGAATATTAATGACTGGAGAGGTTAGGATTTTGCAGATGTAGAGCCAAATAACAATTTATCTTTGTCTACTTTTAAGCCCTTAAATAGCTAGTTCTTGTCTACCTCTCTGTCAGCTAACAGATAACAATTTTTGGAATGTATTAACTTAGTAGAGTGCCAGTTTCCATCAACCAAAAGTTAAGAGTGTCATTTGACAGCATCTGAGGCCATCAACAGATGTTTCCTGCTTTGCTGAAACCTTCTTCTCTGATCTTTTCATCAATGTGCTGTCTTGATTTATGACTGACTTTGTTCTGTTGCTACAAAAAGTTCGTGAAACTATGTTTATGTTGAAACATGGAATTTGAGGTGATGTAAATCTGTGTTCTTCCAAAACATCTTGGCACAGGGGTCTTTTCTGAGACTGATACTCCAACCAAGGACCATTCATAGATATCACCTAGAACACCTGCTCAGATGTAGCCTTGGGAGCTTAGTATCCAAGTGGGTTCCCTAGAAAGGGGAACAAGAATGTCTCTGACATGAACTCAGTGGCTGGATCTTTGATCACCTCCCCCTGAGGGGGGAGCAGCCTTACCAGACCACAGAGGAGGAAATGCAACCAGTCCTGATGAAACCTGATAAGCTAGGGTCAGTTGGAAGGGGAGGAGGACCTCCCCTATCAGTGTACTTGGAGAGGGGAATGGAAGGAGATGAGATGGGGAGGGAATGAGGGAGGGAGCTACAGCTGGGATACAAAATGAAGAAACTGTAATTAATATTTAAAAAATTAAAATTTAATTTAAAATTTATGTGTTCTTGAGCCATGATCTACCCATTATCCTTTTTGAGGTGTGAGTTGTGTTTTCGCATTTATACATATATACTCACTATTTAATTATTTTTCCTAAGGCCTTACCTCCTAAAGCTATTACAATACATATTAGGTTGCAAAATATGAATTTGGAAGAGGATACAAATGCCTAAATGATGGCAAAGACCAACTGTTTGGAGACTGACAGAACTGGCTTAGCACAAGGAGTTTTTCCTCTATTTTTGCTCATGGTAGAACTACGATGGTTGGTCAGTATAAAAATCTTTTTTTTATTATTTCTATTTTCTTAATCATCTCCAAATTCTTCTTAGGTCATATAACCATCCAAGACATCTTTGTGAAATAGAAACCAAGTTTGAAGAACTTTTCCTTTGAAGATCCCCAACATCCTTTAACACTTTTCCCAAATGCAGATGTGCTTTTTTTATTCTGAGTGACCATACATGATAAACTATCTCTTCCTCAGTTGAAAGCATTGTGATAACTTTCACTTTAATCCTCCTAGGCAGCATCAGTTTATAATAGACAAATATCACACCATCACACCTCTTTATCCTTTGATACCACTGTATAAATGGATCTGTTTGTGTAAAAGGTCTTGTTTCACCTGAATAAATTCTAAAGGTTTCTTTTGTTATTCAGTTCCTGAGAAAGTACAACTCAGTGGACTTTAAAGCAGATTCTTGATCAGCACTTGAGAAGTTATATCAAATATGCTCTCTCGTGCCCAATTAAAAATATCACTTAACAATCTGTGTACACAATAAAATTAAACTAATAAACAAATCACATCTTGGCTTTGACCTAATTATACTTTTGTTTCAGATGATGATCTCAAAGTGAATCACTCAGGCAAGTATGGAAAAAAATCAGTGAATTTTGTGTTTGTGTAGTCATGGAATTATGTATATAAAATTATTCATAATTTTATACTATATTTAGCACCTGCATTTTAATCTCCCTGACTACACAAAAATCAATGTGTTAGTAATTCTGAAAAGAGATGAAATGCAACCCTTGGCTATTCTAATAGAGATAGGAATCATTAAAAGTATAAACCTGATTTTTGTTTCTTTTATTAGAAATTAGCATAACTGATATTTCTATAACATGAATGTGGAGGCTCATGATTTGGCCCTGTATTGGCCTACAGAAAGTTCTTTCTCTGCCAGATAAGGCCCAAGAACTGTGCATCAGCCTTTGTTAAAGGGTGTAATGAGGTACAGGTGAATGAGTATGTTGCCTACCTGACCAGGTCGATGACCAGCTCTCTTGGTGCAGCGCTGACTGGCTCATCATTAATCATTACAATCTGATCTCCTGGAATCAGCTTGCCTTCTGAGGGGCCACCTGGAGATAGATGAAAGAAAAACACGCAAGTGAGAACTCCTTTTGCGACCCACTTGAAATTCCTTCTCCCCATCATGACTCATTATGAGTAAATGATGCTTTTAGCATAAGCAAAACCCAAAAACACCAGGATGTTTTTTTGGGGGGAGGGGACCATCTGAGGACCACCAGGATGCACTCTAACTTGTCAGGATCTCTGAGTGGAACTCAGGAATCTTGGTTTCCTAAAACTTCAGCAGCAAGACCGATACTAGACTATCAGTGTTTCCCACATATTTTCCCCTTTGTTTTATTTTATTTGTTAGTGTTCTCTATTCATGTATGTTTGTGCACCACATGTGTTCAGTACCTGCAGAGGACAGTAGAGGGAATTAGATCCCCATCGAACTGGAGATATTGGGAGTTGGGAACTGTGATTTGGGTGCTGGAGATCAAACTCAGTATGTCTGTAACAGCAGTAAGTGCTTTTAACTCCTGAGCCATCTCTGTAGCCACCCTTTGCGTGATACTTGAGTCAGGAATGGAAGGGAGTCTAGATATGTCTTTACCTGTACAGTTCTGCTACAACTGGGACATGGCTAGATTTCAACAAAACTGCATGCATTTGTTCATTTCAAGTATTGTGACTGCACACTCAACCATAGGGTATTAGAAAAAAAAACTCATAAAATTTGGATGTGTTTTGAGTACTGTTGGGAAAGGTTAAATGAAGTGGGGGCATGTTCTTCATATTTGATGCTAACTAGAAGTGGGAACAGTTTCATCATAAACATCTAATGATTGCTCAAAAGGTTAAATGAAGAAGTCATGGGGCTCGAGAGATGTCTCAGTGGTTCAGAGCACTGGCTGTTCTTCAGGGGACCCTGGTTCAATTCCCAGCAGCAATGAGGAAGCTTACACATAGTTGTCTGTAATTCCAGTCCCAGGGGTTCCAATATTCTCTTTTGACCTTCCCCAAGGCACCAGACACACAGACAGGAATGCAGACAAACATGCATATATATTTGTTATTATATATAAATATCTTTTTTATTACATATAATTATATACTATATTTATGTGTGTATATGAATACATATAAATAATATATGTGATATACTATATATATATATATAAAATTATATATAATACAATAAAATAAATGAAGGAAGGAAACCTAGCTGTGATTTAAGATTTAAAAAATTCATTTGTCCCTATGTCGGCTAACGGAGGGTTGAGGTTTGTGAAATATATGACTTCAAGTATGCTTGGATGTTTGTGTCTATGTTCACAGGCCCCGATCTATCATGGTTAGTGGCACTGTCTGCTGTTGACATTTGGTCAAGTTGTTTACGATCAATACAACGGCCAGACCCAGCTCTGATGGCTTGACGGTACTAGGTGTGATAAGGTGTTTTACTTTTTCGGTTAGATTCCTAATGAGGGAGTAAGAACCTAATGTTTCTTGGACAGGTATGATGCCCCAGGCTAAGAAGCATAACATTTTACTTGGTAAACTCACTGAATATTCCAATGGTTCCTGGCACAAATGAGAGAACTAAGCTCAGCAGTAAAAGAATAGGCATGAAGGTATAATTATGTCAGATGTATGCAAGTTCAGAGTGGCTTACTTCTCTTTGGAACTTGCTCTCACAAAGGAAGACCTAAGGCCACATCTGTATAAAATATATAAGTGTTTAAAATTTTTAAAAAAGTAAACAATTACTCAAGATTATTCAATTATTTGAATTATTCTCACATGTGCAGCTGGGTGAAGTTGCCTCCCAAATATTGACATGGTGTTATGTGGTACTATATAATTTTCCCCATATTTCCAGAGACATAACTCTGTGTGATAGGTACAGTTAGAATAGCATCTTTTTAATAAGCTCACTAATCTTTTGTTTAACAATTGAAATGAATGTTTCATGATCAGAACAAGAAATTGAAAGTCATATAGTTATTCTGTAGTCACTCTGATACTTAACACTCAAACTGTGCCATCAGTTTGTATTTCTGGGGAGTTAGAAAATAGGGAACCTAACAAGCACCCAAATAAGTGATAGAAAACATTCATTTTGTAGATCTGAGAAGCGAGAATTAGTGTTCACACACAAGGAATTCAGAAAGAGCACTTGAGAAACCTATTTCAACCATTAGATTATGTGCAAACAGCCACACCTATTCAGTCAAGCAAATGGTTACAAATCAAATGCTGGTTAAACACAGAAACAATTTCATAGAAGCTGTCTGAGTATATATATGAACTGTTTTGGTGAGAACACTACTCTCAAACAATAGAACAATTTCTTAGGTTTCACCTGTTTGTTTTATCTGCTTGTTTGTTGAGACCAGGTCCTGCTCCACCTGACCTGGAACTCACTATGTAGCTCGGTCTGGCCTTGAAATTACAGTTATTCACCTAAATAATCATCCTGTTTGCTGGTAGCAGTGGCATGAGTCACTACAGTCAGTTGACTTATGCCTTTTTATCAAATGGGAATATTCTTGGTTAGTCAAGCAACTTGAATCAAGAACTCTGGAAAAGATGACACACAAATCCTTCCAAAATATGAGATAATGGTATCCTTCAGAGGATTGTTTCATGACCTTTGCTCTGATGACTGGGTTATGTCCTATAGAAAATCTGGTCATGTCACTCAAATCACCTGGGACTTGAGTAGAATCACTTTTATGATAGACATTTTATTTGACCAATATTTTCACTAAGAAAAATAACCAGAAGAAGGACTCTTTCATCACTGTTTTTTACTTCTTTTCTACTCTCCTCAGAAATGTTTGACAGTCAGTGTTATGGTATCTCTGAAGCTATAAAGAATTCAGTACAAGGAAAGGAAGAATGTGGAAAGTTTTCAGTGCTTATAGTTTCTGGTTGTGTGCATACTGAATTCTGTCTGTGCTGTATGCTCTCCGCATCTATGGGAATCCTGGTTCTCAGAAGTATGAGTTAGCTTTCTTTTCTGCACTACCCGAGTGTGTGTATGTACATGGATTTAATTTATAAAACATAAAAAGAAACACTTATATTTGGAAAATACAATCCTCAGTGGTTTCAAACTCAGTATTCACAGAATCCCAAAATACAATTCACATCTAATGAAGTACAAAGTTGTGAAGACAAAGTAAAGAGTTGTATGATGGGACAGCTTAGAATAAAACACTATTCTCAGCTGCAGTTCAAGTGCTCAGTTGTATTTGTGGTGCTTGACTCAAGGAGGTTATGTCAAAATAATGGAAAATTAAAATCTTAATCAACTTGAAAAAAATCTATATTGCTTCACTAGTCAACTTCTATTTCCCATCATTGCCTGACTAAAGGGTCAAACACTTGAGAATTCAATAACAATAACCCAGAAGTCATGGAAGGATTTCTGCGTACCACCCCATAGCTTGCTAAGTTAGATACTATGAAAATCCCCAAAGCATTAATATAGAGAAGCTACATCCAATCGAAAAGCAGGGGCTGAACATGGATATTCCAAAGCCTAGTAAGGACTGTAGACAGGATTTAAACTGAATAGTATTCACTGCAGAATCTGTGCTTGTTTTTAAATGACACTTCTAAGTTTTGTATGAACGTGTATAGTGCATGTATGTGTATTATAGCTATGTGAACATGTGTATGTGTTTGTATACATGTTGAAGCCAGAGGTTGATGCCTAGTACCTTCTTCATTATTGTCCACCTGACTCTTTGAGACAGGGTTACTCACTGAACCTGTATATCTATTAGCTGATCACTGATCCCTTGGGAGCCACTCCACTCTTACCCCACAGCTGGAGTGACAGATGTGTACAACCATGAAAACTTTTTAATGGATTTTGGGGATCTGAGCTCAACTTCTCTTCCTTGTGTAGCATGTACTTTACTCACTGAGCCATTTCCCTAGGCTCCAGAATCTATCTTATTATGTGTAGGACTTTACTATTGAGTTCTGTTAGTGATTTGCAAAATCTTCAGAGCAATGACAGAGGAAATAAGAAAACGTTTTGCATTACAATAAAGGCATAAATGTATATAATAAATAAATAACCAAAAGCAATTTTTTTCTGGAAATGTAAAGCTGGCCTACTGTGTTCATAGTGGGGGAGCAGTTTATCCTCATATGACTAATTGACATACAGTCTATTGTCATGTTGTAGAAGATAATAGATGTTATATGCATCAGATAGCATCTGTTGTGTTCAATCCGGATAATTGTTTCTTCTACCACTTGTGGATTGTTAGGATGATTTCAGGCCTGGCTTAGCTGAACAGAGCTGATTCAAAATACAGATTTTGTTGGACTGAGCTTCAGGCTTCAGGCTAGTTGGCTGCTGCCCCAGGAGTTTATCATGGAGATGAGGCTGAAGGAATAGCAGCTTCCCTGGGAAAACATCCCTTCTTATAGCCATGACAGAGTTCAACTATATACATGCATGTCAACCTTCTCCCTTGAGTATATTTATCAATGCGTCATTGGCCAAAGGCATTTGCTTGATCCACACTAACAACAATAGGGCATAGAAATTGCCTGCCTCTATTGAGAAGGGAAAGATACGTATACTTGTAAAACAATTCATGTACCCCATGACTAAATTTTACTATAACTATTTTCCATCAGGTACTTACATATATTACAGTGCTTGTCCATCACTATTTGCATTTCTCCATTCAGAAGTGGTAACACAGATTAACGGTGATATTATCAGTATTTTTCCTTACCCAAGGGACATGATGGATTTGGCAGTTTAAAATCTCCTTTGAACTCAGGCATGGAGATTCAAGACAGTGATCCCAGCATTTGTTGGGCTGAGGTGGTAAGACTGCCACAAACTTTAAGGTAGGTGAGGTTACTGCTATAGTGCCAAGCATACAGGGCAACATAGCAGAGTTCTGTCCTCAAAAATGCCCCAATACATATGTACAAACATACATATATAAATATGAAAAATAAAGCCCATTTTGATGACACATTTTTATCTCTCCATCTTTCTTTTTGGGAATCTATTGGGGGATGGGAAAGTATAACTTTTTCTCCATAGTCTGAGCATTCACAGAACTGAACAGAAGCCATTCTAAGCAGGTGTGGCAGGTAGTGTTATGAAAGACCAAAGAGTGGGGCTGGATTCTTACCTGGTGTCACTGAGCGAACAACCACTGGCTTTTCACTTCCTGCCACGAAACCAAAACCCAGCACAGGGTCTCTCCTCATCTCCACCTTCCGTGGAGCTGGGGGAATGATTTGGCAGCTGTCAAACTGAGGGTCATCAAATGGGATTGCTTGTGTCATGTGACTGTGGGGAAAATACAGACAAGAGAAAAGCGGTATTAATGTGGGGTAAGGCATTGCCCTTGAATTCATGTGCTTTTTAGTTAGAATCCTGTTGTCTTTGGTATAGAGTAGGAACAATCTAGAGACTCATAGTCATCTTTCATGGTCCATATATTGCTCCTTGGGAACTTTGTAATACCCTTCTTAAGGATTTGCACTGACCAGTCATCTGACGTGAATGCTTGTCCTGCAAATATCTATTGTTCTGTCAAACTTCCATTCATGTATTATAGCTTATAAAAGACTCCCTTGGAATACTATTTTAATGTGATTTTTCTGGTTCCCTCATGCCACCAAACCTCTTTACCCTTTTATGTGTTCTTCCTCCACCATGGCACTACTTACCAATAAATGTACTACAGAAGACATTTATTTTTATGATGGTTTTTTACTGCTTTGCTCTCCATGACAAACTGTGCAGTCTTTAAGGACAAAATACTTAGTTGTCCTATGTATAGAGCTCTGGGTGGAATTTGGGACCTCATACACTACTCTGTCATTGAACTACAGACCTAATCATATAAACTTAATTACATTCATTGACATATCTCAGGTATCTAAAACTGTGTCTGACCCACAGCAAGTTCTCAACAGTAAATGGAATTAATAAGCAGGGATAGGAAGTTATTTCTTTGTAGACTGTTATCAACTGAAATGCTGACCCACAGTCATATAAAGTAATAGACAATAAGCAGGAAGTATATATGGCACTTGAGCCAGGCAAAATTAAAATGATATAGGTGATTTTGGTGGTGATGGGCTACTCCGGTACCAAATATCCTGCTACCATTCTAAATAATCTGATTGTATAGCTCTTGACATTTACCTTAGGGAAAAAAAGATTTGAATGATTTAAATGAGTTTTCTCATTAACTGAATTTTAACAATAATAAAAAGTTGAATATTATATAATACTTGGGAAGTAAAATTCTCAATGGTATAATAAAAACCCTTCTTCCCACAGTAGTGCAAAAAAACTCTAACTAAACTCAGTGACTACCTGCAGAAAGAAGACATGAAAGTAGAATGGAGACTTGTTAATAAAAATGGCTCCAGTGGGGTGGGGGGAGATGAGAGGAGAGGGAAAAGGGATGAAAAGGACTAAGATTCATGATGTTAATGTATGAAACTGTCAATAATAAATAACACTTAAAATTTTAAAATGCTTTCGACTCACAGTCACCCTTAGACTTAAAGAAACAGAGAAGTCATTGTCATCACATTTGTTAACAATGAAATTAAGATCAAAATCATGAATTATCTGCATGGGACTGACCTAGGGCTTCTGCCCACATGCTATAGTTGTATAGACTGGTGTTCTTGAGGGACTCCCAACAGTGGGAGCAGGAGCTGTCTCTGACTCTGTTGCCTGCCTTTGGGATCCTTTCCCCCTACTGGCTTACCCCATGTCCAGTCTTAATATGAGTAGAGGTGCCTCTTGTCTTACTGCAACTTGATAAGCCACGTTTGGTTGACACCAGTGGAAGGTCTGGCCTTTTCTGAAGACAAAATGGGTAGTGCTTGGGGTTTAGGAAGAGCAGATGCTGAGAGGTCAGGGGGAGGAAGTGAGAGGAGAGGAGGGATAGAAAACTGCAATTGGGATGTAATAAATAAATAAATAAATAAATAAATAAGATTTGGTTTTGAAAAAAATAATGGTGCATCACCATTAAAGTACCCAATGGCCAATAGGCGAGGGAATCTGGTCAAAGGTGATGTTTTCATTCGTGGCAATTGTCCAAGGAAGCTTTCTTTTGTGGAAGAGTTGTTAGCAGAACATTAGCAATTGCCTTCAAGAAATGTTAGCTCAGATGACTTAAATGACTGACATGAACTTAATTCAATTTTAATTTTATTTTACATTCATTTAATTATTCTCCTTCTAGCTACTGAGTGTGTGTGAGTGTGTGTACATGCTGGCAACATAAAGTACATATGAAGGTCAGAAGAATACTTCCAAGAGCTGGATCTTTCCTCCTACCATGTGGGTCCTGGGATTGAACTCAGGTTGACAAGGTTGGCAGCACGTACCTTTATCCGCTGAGCTTTCTTCTCAGCTATAAATTTAACTTAAAATATTCTTTTTATTATAATAATTTATTTTTATTAATTACAGTTTATTCACATTGTATCCCAGCTGTTGCCCCTCTCTCATCCCCTCCCAATCCCGCCCTTCCTCCCTCTTCTTCACCCATGACCCTCCCCCAGTCCACTGACAGGGGAAGTCCTCCTCCCCTTCCATTTGATCCTAGTCTATCAGGTCTCATCAGGAGTGGCTGCATTGTCTTCTTTTTTGTGATATAAACTTTTTTTAATTCTTTATTAATTACATTTTATTCACTTTGTATCACCCCTGTGGTTCCCTCCCTCCTCCCATCCCAATCCCTCCCTTCCTCTACCCTCTGCATGAATGCCCCTCCCTAAGTCCACTGATAGGGGATGTCTTCTTTCCTTCCTCCTGATCCTGGCTGCATTGTCTTCTTTACTAAGTAAATAATATCATTGTAAAATACCTTGTACACTGGTGTTCTATTTGCTGTCTGGACAACATACTGTCCAAAAGTAATAAAAAAAAATCCAAGGAAGGAGAAAGCATGATATTCTTCAGTGCAATTAATAAGAGTTAGGGAAAATCAGCAAAAATCCTCTGGATCTATCCCTTAAATATATATCAGGGCTAAGAAAATGCAATTTCAAAATCCCCTTTCAACAGAATGTAACTCTTGAGACATGGAACATAAGAAGAAACAGAATGGATAAATGTGTTGTATGCTTTGTGCTGAGGCTCATCTGTTATATGATTTAATTCTTGAAGACCTTACTCTTATGGAGCCTATTTGACCCTTTACACAAGCTCTTTTCAAAAGCAATGACAGAAAAAGATCTGAATAAAGAAAAGAGGCCATGGCAGTGTGAACTTGAGACAAGAGGAAAAAAGGACACAAATGATTTGGTTGGTGTCTCTTATAATAGACATTGGCAATTAAATTAGAATATTTTGAACATTTGCAGCTTTATTAGCCCCTTTCTAGAAAACAGTAAAGTAACATTATTTAAAGTTTCAATACATCATTCTTTCAACAACTCTCATATTATTATAATTTAATAATATGACAGTTATTAAACATCAATTTTGTACTAAGCATTGTTTATTCTAAGTGTTTTCCATATGTTAGTTTGCTTAATTCTTCAAGACAACTTTATAATATAATAATTTAATCATTTATTCAATTTAATATATGCCCCCTGAGCTCTCTTTTCTGGGAATACAAAAGGAAAGAAAGCAGAGAAAAATAAAATGTCCATACTAGTTTATGGTTAATGATAAGAGAATCTAAACAGGGAGGGTGGGCAGACAGCTGCTGAGTGAGGGTAACATCTAGAGTGAGTGTGCTCAGGACACAGGAACCATGAAGTGCAACTATCTGGAAATGCAACATGCTTCAGGGGAAGAAAAGATGCTTAGGAACATGTAGAAGCCAGTGAGATGTAGGTTGTAGGTTTGAATCAGTGATGGTGTAGTAAAGAAATGATGGTAGAGATCCTTCAGAGATTGAACAGCTTATGTGTCCCCTCAGTCTTTTGTTCAACCAGGAAGCCAATGAAAAGTTTAAATGTTAGCAATATATTCAACTACCGTGTTGACAGCCGAGAGGACAGTACATAAGAAAGACCATTCATAGGCCAATGTATCCTTTTTACAGATAATAATGGCTCACAATGGGATGAGAATGACAGAGGTTGCAGGAATTTGGGGGCTTTTAATACTGTTGGAAACTATTCTGGTGGATCAAGGGTGAGCTTCTTACTCTTTAACATTTCTCCTGCATATATCTTCTCTTCACAAGAGTGAACCATGAGTATGTGCTCTGATGCACCTACATTGTGGGAAATATGCCTCCTTCCTGTGTGCTCAGGAAATAGGTGTTTAGGTCTCAGATAGACATAAAAACCAGCATGGTTGTTTACAGTAAGACTTCAAAACCAAATGACCTAGCTTTGGGTTCTAATCCTACTAAATCCTAACAGGATGACCTGCTTCCTTATTTCATGCTTCCTTCAGAAAACCATGACAGTAATTATAACAATCTCATAAGAGAGCCGTAAAAAGCAAGCAAACAAGACATGTAAAGCACTTAAAAAATGTTGGTCACATTGTCAGTGCTCTGAAAATGATAGCTTTTATTTTTATCTATAAAGATCATTGGCAATGAAGAAAAGAATGAATTTCAGACATGATGAAAACATTCCATTATAAGATCTTAAAACCAACTGAGCTGGCTAATTTTATATCATTTTGGAAAAGAAAACCTAAATTGAGAAAACACCCCCACCAGATTGGTCTGTTGGCAAACCTGTGATGAATCTTCTTGATTGATAATTGATGTGGGAGGGTCCATCTCACTGTGGGTAGTATCATCCAATTGGCCAGTGGTCCTGGGTGCTATGGAAAGCAGTCTATGCAAGTCAAGTGGACCAAGTCAGGTAACAGCACTCCTTCAATGCCTCTCCATCAGTTTCTGCCTCTAAATTTCTGCCCTGCTTGAGTTCCTGTCCTAACTTCCCACAGTAATGGAGTGTGACATGGAAGTGTAAGATTAAATAAAACCATTCCTCCCTAGTTGATTTTGGTCATAGTGTCTTATCAGAGCAACAGATAGTCTAGATGAGATACCAACCTGCCATTTCAAACATTTACAGACCAGCTCTCTGGGTGCAATGCCTCATCAGCCCCAGTCAAACTCCAAGGGTTTCAATTACAAAATTTAGATCAAGTGATATGGAAAAATGAAATGAATAGGACTTGAGATACCCAAGGCAATACTATACCAGGGACACAGAAAAATGAAGAAGATAGAGTAAACAGTAAGTGTTCCTTGGCTGTGTCTCTTGCCCACTAAATACCACGGACTACAGTGATGGGGTTGAGCCAGAGGGGAGTCATGAGACAGGCTCATTTCT